CGTACTGCTGTTCAACAAATCATCACAAAAAAAGAATGGCTTGAAACAAAAACGGCCATTTAATTTTCTTTTACAGATTTTATAGGTTGGGAATTTGGGAAGAGAGTTTTGGCTGAGAATTCTGGTTCCCATAGTTGCAGTGAGATGATGGCTAATACTGGAACAATGGGAGACTGAAGTAGCTGAGGGCTAACCTAGCAATTCTTTCTCTTTCTCTTGTAGTCTCAGGGTCCATGGAGTCTCTCTGTAGGGGCTAGTTTGGGCTTCCTCAGCATGGCAGTCTCCACGCTACACTAGCCAGCTTTTGAAATTGTCCTGAAAGATTTCCATCTTCTAGTATTCATATCATTCATTGTGTAGTCTCTTTCCACACTAGACAGGGCTGACCTGAGCCCATAGAATAATCCAGAAATTATGGTGTGTCACTTTCATGGCTAAGTCATAAAGAGATTGTGGCTTCCATCTTGCTCCCTCCTCTGTGTGAGGCCAGTTGCCATGTTAGGAGGACACTCAGGCAGCCCTAGGGAATGGACCGCTTAGTAAGGAACTGAGGCCTTTTGCCAACAACCAGCATGACCTTGCCAGGCTTGTGAGAGAGCCACCCTGGAACTGGATTCTCCAGCATCAGTCAAGCCTTTAGGTGGCTCTAGTTTTAACCAACATCTTGACTGGAACTTCATGAGAGATCCTGAGCCAGAACCACTTAGCTTAGCTGCTTCCAGATCCCTGACCCAAAGAAGCCGTGTAAGATTCTAAATGTTTATTGTTTTGACCTGCGATGCTGTGGGGGTAACTTGTTACACAGCCATAGGTGATTAATACAGGGCAGTCGGACTGCTTGCAGAGCAGCTCCAGATTCTAGTACAAGGGCTCCAGGGAGTGAGGGGGAAGCCGTATCATCTTTTACAATTTAGCTTAAAAGTCACACGGTAGGGTGCCTGGCTCAGCTGGTGGAGCATGTGACTCTTGATCTTGGGGTTGTACATTTGAGCCCTACATTGGGCATAGAGATTACTAAGAAATAAAATGTTTTTTTAAAAAGTCATATAGTATCCCTTCCACTGTAACACAAACGTCCTCAGTTCCAAGGGGAGGAACACAGAACTCCATCTCTTGATTTGAGAAGCGTCAAAGTCATATTCTAAGACGTTTGTGTGGGGTGGGCCATTTTTGGAAATACAAACTGCCACATGGGACAGCATTATTTTCTCCCCTGTCTTCTCTTACTCCCTACAGGTCATGGCTTCCAACCTCTGCCCCGAGCCTAAATCTCTCTCCTGGGCTACAAACCCCTTAGTGGGATCGCCTCTTGGCTGTCACCACCTGGATGCCTCACAGGCCATTCAGATGCAATGCAATGCACCCCAAAGTGAACCCCTTAAACTTCCCCAAACCTGTTCCTCATCTGGGGTTTCCCATTTTAAACATGGCCCCTTCATCCATCCAAGCCACTCCTCCTGGATTGCTCTCTCAATCCCTTTAATCTATGCAGACCACTACCCTGGTCCAAGCTACCTTCACCTCCTACCTAAATAAATGCAGTAGTCTCCTCACTGGTCTCCCAGGTATACTTGTCCCTCATCCACAGATTGATTCTCTACACCGCAATCAAAGTGATCCTTTCAAAAAAAAGAATGATTGTAGGTGTGTCTGGCTGGCTCAGTTGGTAGAGCATGTGACTCTTGAACTCGGGGTCGTGAGATCAAGCCCCACTTTTGGCCTAGAGCTTATTTAAAAAAAATAATGATGTAGTTCTGTCACTTTCTGCCTTTCAATAGCATCCCGTTTCAATAGCTCAGAAAATAAAGCCCCAAATTTCCTTCATTTTTTCAACAAATGTTTATGGTGCAAATGTTATGTGCCAGAAATGTGTTAGGATCTTGGGATAAAGCAAGAAAGCAGACAAATATTCATGCTCTGGTGTTACATTTTATTTTATTTTTTAGAGATTTTATTTATTTGAGAGAGAGAGAGAGAGCACAAGTGGGAGGGGACAGAGAGAAGCAGGCTCCCCACTGGGCAGGGAGCCTGACATAGGGCTCAGTCGCAGGACCCCGGGGTCACGACCTGAGCCGAAGGCAGACGCTTAACCAACTGAGCCACCCAGGCGCCCTTGGTCTTACATTTTAGAAGAGAAGAGAAAAGGGGCACCTGGGTGGCTCAGTCAGTTGAGCATCCGACTTTTGATTTCGGCTCTGGTCATGATCTCACGGTCGTGGGATCGAGCCCCACAGTGGGGCTCAGGGCTCCATGCTCAGCAGGGAGTCTGCTTGAGATTCTCTCTCTCCCTCTCCTTCTGCCCTCCCCCTGCTCTCTTTCTCTAAAATAAATAAATAAATAAATAAATAAATAAATAAATAAATAAATAAATCCTTTTAAAAAAAGAGATGAAAAAGTGCGCAATTAATACAATCAGTACATAAAGTATATAATATGTTGTTGGTGACAAATGCTACAAATAAAATAAAAAGTAGAGCAGAGTGGGGAGAAAGTTTATTTATTTATTTATTTATTTATTTATTTATTTATTTATTTATTTATTTATTTATTTATTTTGCAAGTTTAAATAGGATGGTCAGGGTGGCCTTCATTCAGTTGACATTTGGGCAAAAGCTTGAAGGAGGTGAGGGGTAAGCTATGTGGATATCTAGGGGAAGGGTGTTCCAGGCGGAGAGAACAGTCAGTGAGAGGCTCTGAGGCGGGGTGTACCTGGTTTGTTTAGGGAGCAACAGGGAGGCCAGTGTGGCTGCAGTTGTGTGTGGGGGGGTGGGGGGTAAGGACGGAGAGAAAAGAGGGGAACAAGTCTTTTTTTTTTTTTAAGATTTTATTTATTTATTTGAGAGAGAGAGAGAGAATGAGAGAGAGAGCACATGAGAGGGGTTATGGTCAGAGGGAGAAGCAGACTCCCTGCCGAACAGGGAGCCCGATGCGGGACTCGATGCGGGACTCGATTCAGGGACCCCAGGATCATGACCTGAGCCGAAGGCAGTTGCTTAACCAACTGAGCCACCCAGGCGCCCTCAAGTCTTTTAATCTTTCTGTAAAGTGAGAACAATAGCAGTACCTGTCTCCGAGAGTTGCTATGGAGAGAAAGTTAATACAACCCAGGGCTCTTGGAAGAGTGCCTGACCAGCGGTGAGCTCTGCAGGAGTGTTGGGAAAGCCCTGGGTGCATGTCCACCCTCGGCCGCTGGGTGACAGCAACGAGTTCAGGCGGCGCGCCGCTCGAGCGAGCGGGGTTAAATGGGGTGAAGTCCTGCCCGATGCCTCCCGCCTCAGTGCCACTGTGACAGCTCCTCACTACCGGACACGCCGCGGCCACGTGAGCACGGAGTTCTGGCACACCGCAAGCACTCCCAGTCCTCTGCTTCTCGGCGCGTGCCGTCCTCCCCCCCGGAACCATCCTTCCCTCTCCCTTCTTCCCACCGGCTCAAGCCGAGCCCGCCTCGGGAGCTGAGTGGCCTCCCGGCCTCACTCCAGTATATTGCTAGGATGCTGGAAAAGAAAGGGTGGGAATGGTGTGGGGATGAGGGGGCACAGAGGAAATCCAGAGACTCAGGGAGCCCTATCCTCATGGTCTACGCAGACCTTCCCCCAATTCCTCAGGCAGGCCATCCATGGTAAAGGGTCCCACCTCTGCTGAAGTTTATAGACAGCCTTTGGGCTCCAAAGATGTTGCCTGCTTCATTTAATCCTTTTTTAATTTAAAAATTAAATTAAGGGTGCCTGGGTGGCTCAGTCGGTTAAGCGTCTGCCTTCGGCTCAGGTCATGATCCCCAGGTCCTGGGATCCAGTCCCATATCGGGCTCCCTGCTCAGCGGGGAGTCTGCTTCTCCCTCTGCCTTCCGCTCCCCCTGCTTATGCTCGCTCTCTCTGACAAATAAATAAATAAATCTTAAACAAAACTTATATTAAAAATAATAATAATAAAACTAAAATTAAAAAAAATTTAGAAAATATATAACCATGGTAAAGAAAAATCCAATCAGTACAAATACAAGTACACACACACACACACACACACGGAGTAAGGTCTCTCCTCCATCATCTCCTGCCTGGAAAAAGTAAATTGTTTTTTCACTGGTCTCTCTGCATTTGGTCTCACCAACACCCTATCTCCCAAACACTACAGCCACAGGGTTCTGTCTAAAGAGCAGATCAAATTAAAACCCTTCAGTGACTTCTTACTAACTCAGGACATATGCAGACTTCTTGCCCTTTATGATCTGGTTCTGGTCACCCCATTCAGCCCCTCTTCTTCCTAGACTCCACATGGCTGTAGGTATATCCTCAGATTATCCAGGCTGTTCTCTGTCTTTTCATACCCTTTCCACTACGGCTTGGGCACCTGGCCACGTCCTACTCAAGCTGCACCTGTTCCAGTGTCCCCGACCCTATTTAATACTTCCATCCTGTGCAGCCCTCATCAGGATTTATGACACTGAAACTGTCTTCCTCTGTGGGTCAGGGAAAAGTCTACTTAGTTGATTCAATACCCAAGCTCCTCCTCTGGCACTGAAAAGTCACCCAGTCAGCGTGACAGGCACGAATGAGTAATAATAACATACTCACATAGTGCTAATTCCATGCCTGGCACTGTTCTAGGTACTTTACATATATAAATTCATATACCCACACAACCCCAAGGTTGATAGATCCTAATTATACCAACACAGAAATTAAAGCATTGAGCAGTTTAAGTGAGTTGCTCCAGACAGTAAAAGTGGCTGAACTAGGGTTTGAACTAGCAGTCTGGTTTTCCACAAATGGAAGGAGAAGGATGGGACCGCAGGGAAGGGAACCAGGTAGGGTTTGGTCTGTGTTCTTCACATCTAAGGGTCTTCCCGCCCTCTCCCATTTCGCTCCCAGGAAGCCCATTTTATAAAGCAGGAGACAGAGACCCAGGGAGACCACAGATAACTCCGAGAGAACTGTAGAAGGAGCCGTGGAATTTATTTGGGGGTCCAGGAGCAGGGGCGTAGCTGGGATGGTCTCGCTCCAAACTACAACTCCCAGGAGGCACCGGGCCCCCAAAGCCCACATGACGTCACGGCGGCAGAGGGCGCAGGCGGCTCGGCTATCCGGGCCTGTCGACTGTTGGGCCGTTCCGCTCGGACCTCGGCCCTGGCCCTGGCCCTGGCCCTGGCCCTGGCCCCGCGGTAAGTGGAGCAACCGGCGCGGACCCTGCCTGCGGAGGCTTGGCGGCGCGGGCTCGTAGCCTCCGCCACTGAGCTGGACCGCGGAGTGCGCGTGGACCGGGGTGGCATCTACCATATAGGGGGGATCCGGGCCGAACCAAGTGACCCTGCGGAGGGGGAACCCAGACGGCGACTCCAGGGCCGCCACTTCGATGCAGCCGGCCGCCGGGTGCACAGAGCTGTGTGTGCCACACACGGGCAGGCCACGCTCCTGGGGGGCCGGGGTCTGAAGGCGTTGGGTAGGGGTCAGCCCCGCCCCCTGAACGAGGGTGCCCAGAACCGCGGGGAGGGGTATTGTTTTCGGGCTGGACCGGTCTGAGGATCCCGTCCCCTCCAGGCACCAGATGGAGCGTCAAGTTGAAGAATAGCCCGGGAAAACAAGGTTGTACAGGCTTGGCCTGTATGTGTTGGCGGAGGTGGTTGAATGGGTGGGTCGAGATTGCCCAGGTCTGATGATACCAGTGCCACGTGGAGAGATGGTGCGAATTGTTTGGATTCGGATCCTTACAACTCCCCCCTTCCCTTCCTCTCCCCCCCCCCCCTCCCGGCAGATGGGAGCTGCCCCCTGGGGGCTGAGCTTGTCAGCATCCTTGACCTGCAGTCGCTCCTGAAGTCAGAGAAGAGCCCCTGCCCACCCAACACACCCCTTGCCCCGCTTTGGGGTCGCCTCGGTGTATCTGGTCCTCTGCCCTAGCGGCCGCCTAGTCCATAGAGAAACAAAGGAGCAGAGTGGACGATGATACTGGCGTCCGTGCTGGGGAGTGGTCCCCGGAGCGGACCTCCACTCCGGCCCTTACTGGGGCCTGCACTCTCGCTCCGGGCTCGCTCCACATCAGCCACCGATACGCACCACGTGGAGATGGCGCGGGAGCGCTCCAAGACCGTCACCTCCTTTTACAACCAGTCGGCCATCGATGTGGCAGCGGAGAAGGTCCGGAGCTGGAGGGGGTGTCCAGGGAAGGGGTGGGGCTGATGTGGTGGGGGCGGGGCGTTGCAGATCCAGTGCTCAAAGCCCATCTGCCCCTCCAGCCCTCAGTCCGCCTCACTCCGACCATGATGCTCTATTCAGGCCGCTCTCAGGATGGCAGCCACCTTCTGGTAAGATTCCAGCCCCTATTTCTGTCTTGGTTCCTGGAGCCCTGGCACAGCCACTCAGGCCCTGGCCCTGACTTCCCTCTTTTCTCCTAGAAAAGTGCCCGGTACTTGCAGCAAGAGTTGCCAGTGAGGATCGCTCACCGCATCAAGGGCTTCCGTAGCCTTCCTTTTATCATTGGCTGCAACCCCACCATACTGCACGTGGTAAGGGGGCCTCTGGGGGGCGTGGGTTTCTCTCGAGGGGACTGTAGATCAGTGTGCCCCCAACTGCCCAAGGGACATATTGGGAGACGGGACCAGAGTGGCAGAAACTTGTCTGCCAAAAGGTTTCAGGGCCAGAGGGCTCAGACCCAGGCCTTAAGAGGCCAAAGTTCCATATTCATTGAGGCTTAAAAGACCATGATGGGGGTTTAAACCAAGTGAATTGGGATGGATGGCAATCCCCATGGGTAAGCATGGGTGGCTGTTCTCTACCCAGTGCCCACGGCATCCCTGTGAATTCCTACACCTCTTCTTGCAGCACGAGCTGTACATCCGTGCCTTCCAGAAGCTGACAGACTTCCCTCCGGTGAGGGCTGGGCCAGGGCAGGGTGAGGGGCTGAGAGGTCAGGGCTGAAACATCCAAGCTCATGACTCTGTGGCCTGTAGATCAAGGACCAGGCGGACGAGGCCCAGTACTGCCAGCTGGTGCGACAGCTGCTGGACGACCACAAGGATGTGGTGACCCTCTTAGCTGAGGGCCTGCGCGAGAGCCGGAAGCACCTAGAGGTCAGGGGCAGCACAGTGGGCACCCGGGCCTATCGGGGGGCCTGGGAAAGGCACAGGGTTTCTGAGGCCCCACTCTTCACAGGATGAGAAGCTCGTCCGCTACTTCTTGGACAAGACACTGACTTCGAGGCTTGGGATCCGCATGTTGGCCACACATCATCTGGCGCTGCATGAGGACAAGGTGGGGTGCTGGGATCTGAGACCTACCAGGTGGGGCAGAGGGGACTGAGCCAGGGTCTCCCTTGGGCTGGGGACTGGACCAAGGGCCTGGGAGAGGCTTGGGGCTGCTTCAGCGGTCCAGAGCGACTGCAAGCATTTGGTGGCCGAGGTGTGGGTCAAGGTACTGCTTAGTCCTGACTTTTTTTCTCCTGCCAGCCCGACTTTGTTGGCATCATCTGCACTCGCTTATCGCCAAAGAAGATTATTGAAAAGTGGGTGGACTTCGCCAGGTGAGGCTAGAACAGCTAAGGGGGTGGGTGTCTTCTGGCTGGAAAGGCTTGGGTCTGAGCCCTTGCCTACGGCAGGGGTTCTCAAATGTGGCATTTTGGGTCAGATAATTCTTAGGGGCCGTCCTGTGCCTGTTAGGATCTTTAGAAGGATCCCTGGCTTCTATTCAATGCAACTCCCTGTTGTGGCAAGGAAAAATATCTCTAGAAATTGCAAAATTCCTCTGGGGGTGGTGGGGGCAGAATCACCTCCATCTGAGAATCACTGGTCTAGGTTTGAACTTTGCTCCTATCCACAGACGCCTATGTGAGCACAAGTATGGCAATGCCCCCCGCGTCCGTATCAATGGACATGTGGCCGCGCGTTTCCCCTTCATCCCTATGCCGCTGGACTACATCCTGCCTGAGCTCCTCAAGAATGCCATGAGGTGGGCTGGCTGGATATGTTGGAAGGGGGCAGACAGGAACTGGGATGAGGCTGGGGTACCACCACCTACTGGTCTTTCCTCCCCGCGTAGAGCCACGATGGAGAGTCACCTAGACACTCCTTACAATGTCCCAGACGTGGTCATCACGATCGCCAACAATGATATCGATCTCGTCATCAGGTTTGCCCTTAGTGGGAGTTAGGCTGGGATACGTGGGGGTTCCAGGCACTGTTTCTTCCCTGCTGCTTGACCTTGAGCCAGGACCTGCCCCCCACTGGTCAGACAAGATACTCTCCGGTTCTGAGAATGCCATGAGCTGGATATGAACAGATCTGGGGCTGGCTGCAGGTGCCAGGGGCCCTATCCTTGTCAGCAACTGAGGGGCCTGGAGTGGGGAGTTAGGATGTTGGGTTGACAGTAAGTGTAAAATCCCGTGAGAAGGTACAGCAGCCAGTGGCCCAGGCAGAAGTGAGGATGGAAGGATGTTGCTTATAAAAAACAAGGCCCCAGGGTCTAGGTGGATCACATTCCATCTTTGGGTGGAAGGGGCAGGAAGGCAGACTTCGCACTGTTTGTTTGGGAGGTGGTGAGGCCCCCACCAAAGCTGGGCCCAGCCCATGTTATCAACATCTTGCCAGGATTTCAGACCGGGGCGGGGGAATCGCTCACAAAGATCTGGATCGGGTTATGGACTACCACTTCACTACAGCTGAGGCCAGCACCCAGGACCCCCGGATCAGCCCCCTTTTTGGCCACCTGGACATGCACAGTGGCGGCCAGTCAGGGCCCATGCATGGGTGAGGCCCCACCTGGCTAGGATGGAGGGGTGGGGGGGGCCCCAGGGGACTCAAGCCTCTGAAGCCTCTATCCTATCCCCCTGCCCATCCCAGCTTTGGCTTCGGGCTGCCCACCTCACGGGCCTACGCGGAGTACCTCGGTGGTTCCCTTCGGCTGCAGTCCCTGCAGGGCATTGGCACAGATGTCTACTTGCGACTCCGGCACATCGATGGTCGAGAGGAAAGCTTCCGCATCTGACCCCACAGCCCTTGGCCTACTTGCCTGCCTAGCCTGGGCCCCACACCCTGCCAGGACCTTCTGGGTGAGGCAGGGTGCCACCCTGCTCCACATGCTGCTGCATCTTGGGCCTTAGGGCCCCAAACAGATGGAATTACATGGAGCCCGGTGCCACCCCTCCTCTACAGAGGTCCACTGCTTCCCTGCCTCCAGGCCTTGGGGGAGAGGAAGTGGGGACCCTTGAGACCTCCAACACCAGCTCCGTTATTCTCGTTCCTGGGGAACCCCTACCTTGACCTGCTGTTTGTTATTAAAGTTCACATTTTGAATGCCCTCTTGGGCCCCGTGTGTGGGGAGGGCAGGTGGGCTTTTGTTTCCACCCTATTCTGGTTCCCTGGGCCCTTGGGTTTAAGTAGCTCGTGTCCCAGTCTCGAACTGTCCAGACAGCCTGTCAGGCCAGGTATAGAATTGCCCCCAAATCTCTTTTCATTTAACGAATGCTAAATTTCATGTAACAGGTGTTTCTGGGTCCCAGGCGATATCGAAGGCCCAAGTTGGCCCAGCTTCAGGCCTCAGTTCTGACACTTCTCTTATTGACAGTCACAGGTTCTGGAGGTGAAGGTTACCAGACTGGGCAACCTCCTGAGCCATCTGATTCCTGAGCCTGAGTAAGATTAAAAATACTGCCTGCCAGTTGTGCCTGCTTCTGCCAAGAAAAAGGAACACACAAGATTATATCCTGGCATGCCCCAGGGGACAGTGGGGCCCTGGTCCAGGGGGGTGGGGGGGGCAGAAGGAAAGGGCTCCAGACAGCAGGTGGTGACCCAAGGGAGGGGGAAGAAAGGCCTGAAAGCCTGCTTGGTGGGACTGGTGATGGAAGTGGGGGGTTGAGGGGAGACGGGAATTGTATCTGGAGGTCAGACGTGACTTACCAGGCTGAAAATCCTGCTGGCTCTGGCACGGGGGTTGAGGCTGGAATCTGGCCAGGAAGCATGGGCTTTCTCCTGTAGGCAGCAGGAATCCATGGACAGATTTTCAGCTAGAAAGGGATGTTTCCAGTTAGCTTTCTTAGAAGAAGACGCTGAAAGGAGGGTTTGTGTCCATGTGATTTGTTGAGAAAGTGCTCCAGTTAGGGAGTAGGGGAAGCAGAAAAGGGAAGGGCAGGAGGCCAGACAAGGATGTCATCTCAGGCAAAAGTTCAGAGCCAGCTACTAAGTTCTGTCTTTGAGCTGGAGGCGGGAGAGCTAAATTCCATAGTCATTGATGAACTCTGCTTGACAATCACTGGTTAATGTCTGTGTTGGGAAGTAGGGGTGGGTAGGTACTTAAACTTTCAAGCTGAAAGCTTCCCTTTGCAGCTTTTTTTTTTTAAGATTTTATTTATTTATTTGAGCGCGCGCAAGAGAGTGAGAAACAGGGACGCCTGGGTGGCTCAGTCGTTGAGTGTCTGCCTTCGGCTCAGGTCCTGGTCCTGGGGTCCTGGGATCGATCTGGCTCCTTGCTCGGCGGGAGGCCTGCTTCTCCCTCTCCCACTCCCCCTGCTTGTGTTCCCTCTCTCGCTGTGTCTCTCTCTGTCAAATAAATGAATAAAATCTTAAAAAAAAAAAAAAAAAGAGAGAGAGAGAGGAAGGGGAGAGGGAAAGGGAGAGAGAGAATCCCAAGCAGAATCTGCACTGAGCCCGGAGTCCAACGCAAGGCTCAGTCTCACAACCCTGAGATCATGACCCGAGCCAAAATCGGAGTTGGACACATCACTGAGATCTTGACCTGAGCTGAAAGTGGGAGTCGATGGACACTTAACCAACTGAGCCACCCAGGTGTATCCCTGCCCCGTTTAACCCCCCACCCCTCCCTTTTCAGCTTTTTTAAGGCAAAACAGCTCTATTAGCCCAAGGGATAGTTCGACAAAGAGCCTCTGGCTTTTGAAAGCACATCAAAGGTAATCTGGATCTGAAGAAGCAAAAAAAGAAATTCCAGAGGGTCTGGGTGAAGCATCTACACAGTTCTAGAAGTAACAGATTGGCACATTAGAAGGGAGGATTAGAGGGAGAATAGTGAGGAGTTGGTGTAGTAACCTGGATCAGGGATTTATAAGGCCCAGGCTAATCCTCAACTAGAAAGGACAGCAACCCTGTTAACAAGATGTTGGGTGAAGTCAAAAGTGAGGCACCAGAACCCTGGGTGGAGAGAATAACAGTCTTGAAGATGGGGGGTGGTATGGGGAGTGGGAGAAGGCATTGGAATTTTTTTTAAAGATTTTATTTTTTGACACAGAGAGAGAGAGAGAACACAAGCAGGGGGAGTGGGAGAGGGAGAAGCAGGCTTCCCACCGAGCAGGGAGCCCCATGTAGGGCTCCATCCCAGGACCCTGGGATCATGACCCGAGCCGAAGACAGACGCTTAACAACTGAGCCACCCAGGTGCCCCTGGAATTTTTTTTTTTTTAAGATTTATTTTAGAGGGTGAGGAGGGGGAGAGGGAGAGAGAAACCGTCTTAGGCAGATTCCGTGCTGAGCATGGAGCCTCACGTGGGGCTCGATCTCATGACCCTGAGATCATGACCTGAGCCGAAACCAAGAGTCCAAAGCTTAACCAATTGCGCTACGCAGGCGCCCCAGGGCATTGGAATTTTTTTTTTCTTGCCTGACTTGTTTATTTCTTCGGATTCTTATGCAGCCAGACACTTGGCATTCACTGTCCACTCTCCCCCCAATTCTTTAATTTCCCCAAAGCCAAGTTACCAGTGCTTCCCACTGCCATCACCTCACCCCCAATGAACTCCACTATTTCTTTGACCGAGAGAGACACAGCAAGAGAGGGAACACAAGCAAGGGGAGCAGGAGAGGGAGAAGCAGGCTTCCCGTGGATTAGGGAGCCCGATGCGGGGCTCCATCCCAGGACCCTGGGATCATGACCTGAGCCGAAGGCAGACGCTTAACGACTGAGCCACCCAGGCGCCCTCCACTATTTCTTGATCTGAAACCTGAGCCCCATCCTCAGGCCTTGAGCATTCCACCCGGTTAGAATTGCTTTTAATCCCAGTAACCAATTTATAAGTCAAAGACGATTCAGAGAATGGCCAAAAAGAATGTTTATTGAGCACCTACCCTGTTTGACACTGTACAACACACTTATTTTATATACAGAAGAGACAGGTAAATATATGGCTTACCCTTTATATAGCTCTATGGATTATACAGTTATGTATAATTTAACCTTTACGGTCGCTCTGAGGATGGACACCCTTGCACAATTTACCCAGAGTAGCGTCAGAATCCAGGATTCCTCATTCACTAAGCCCAAGACGCTCTCCAATATGTCCACTGCCTTTGACTAGTTTGTTTAGGGGATGTCTGTTGTAGCGGACCTGGTCCTTTCTTTAGAAAGGTTTCATTCTACGAGAGCAACTTACTCGCTATCCCTGGACATAGACGTCCTGTCTCCCTCACCCTGAACAAGGAAGGCAGCTCCCTCAATCTTTATAAAAGGGGTGATCTGGGTTAGTCTGGCGGAAACGGGCGGCGCGGGGGTGGGTGTTAATTCCAGGCTCAAAGCCCTAATGCCAGGCAGCCACGGAGGCCGCTCTGGCTCGCCGGGTACCGGGTAAAGTGGGGGCAGCGCCTCTGGTAAGTGGCACATCCTGGCTTCCTCGGGTACCAGGCCCTTTAAAAAGACTGGGCTGAGTCATCACATCAGGAAAGTCTTTCTCCTCTTTCAACTCGGGGTTCAGTCATATTTCCAGACTGAAAAAGAAAAATTCCGTAATTCGGCAATCGGCACAGAAAGGTCAAACTTGTCCGGGGCGGCGGGGGTGGGGGTGGGGGTGGCGCTGGAAGGCCGCACTAACCAATGAGCTCTTGCCACATCACAGACCCCACCCTCAAGCCGGTAGCGGCCTCCGCCACGCGTCGCTGACCCGGAACTAAAGGGCTGCGCGGCGCCGGATTCTGGCGTCATTCTACTACAGCGATGGCGGCTCAGGGAGCAGCTGCGGCGGTTGCGGCGGCGACTTCAGGGGTCGCGGGGGAGAGCGATCCCGGGCCCGGGGAGAATGCGGCGGTCGAGGGGACCGCCCCGTCCCCGGGCCGCGTCTCTCCCCCGACCCCGGCGCGCGGCGAGCCGGAAGTCACCGTGGAGATTGGAGAAACGTACCTGTGCCGACGCCCGGACAGCACCTGGCGTGAGGGCGGGGCCCAAGGCCAGGGGGCGGGGTCTGAAGGCGGGTTCTCTGAGGGGCTGGGCGTCATGGGGGCGGGGCTTGAGGGAAGAACGCGGAGTTTCGGGCTCTCCCGGGCGCCGCCTCGTAACCCCAGTAGTCGCCACAGTCACCGAGTTCTTCTAATGCTGTGTAGAGCTCCCATTCTTCTTGCTTGTCCAATCTTAGGCTTCATTGCCTTTTCACACAAAACCGTGGTTCCTTGCTGGTGTGTCTTGTCTGCGATTTCCTCTTCCAGCCCTCTTCTACAACCGCCAACGGAGGGGACCTACGGAAACACAAAAACGAGCTTCCCTTTTCCTTCCCTCCCCTCCCCTCATCTTCAGAATAAACCCCAAATTCCTTAGAATGGCGTGCATCTTTGTGACCTCTCTGGTTTCTAGCCACTGCTAGCAAAGGCCATTGCCGGAGCAGACCACATTGTACCCACTGAAGACCATATGCCTTTTGCCGCCTGTGCCCGCTGCTTTGAATGCCCTTCCCTTTCTCCTGCCTGGTTCACCTGGCTAGCGCTTACTCAACCTTTTAACATCCCATAACTCCTGTGATGCCATTACTGATTTCCTTCGGGCAGAGTGAGTCGTTCCCTTCTGTATGTGCCTGCAACATTTTCTTCATACCTCAGTCAGCTGTGGTATATGTGACATTATGTTGTCATTGTCAGTCTGCGTCTTCTCCTATCAGAGTGGGAATTTCTGGAGGGCAGGGCATCTTGTGATTCACTGCAGTGTCCTCTCTACCCAGCAATAACACAGCATAGGACCTGACACGCAGTGATTGCCTTACTCATTTGTTGGATGGTCTGCCAGTTGTCAGGCATTATGCTAAAAGCTTTAGAGGCATTAACTCTCCCTCTGAGGTGCGCACTATTATCCCTATTTTGTAGATGAAGAAACTGAGGCTCAACCAAAATAATTTGCAGTTAAATAAAGGAAGTGGGGAGCTAGGATTATATATAAACCCAGAGCCAGCCCTCATGACTCCTGAGCAAATGAACAACTGAGTATAAAACAAGCATTGAATTTGAAGCCAGACTTAAACCCAGTTAAGTGTTAGCTTCTTAGCACTTTTCAAATACGTGAGCCTGGGTAAGTCTCAGTTTTTCATCTGCAAAGTAAGAGTAACAGCTCCAACCTGGTCCACTTCACAGGCAGTGATCGATGGAATGGCAGATGTAGGCAGGTGATGTTAGCTTATGTATGGCCTTGGAATCAGGAAACTGCTCCTCGATGTGAAGGATCCTTCTTGTCCCATCCCTGCCGGCCTTCCTGATGATCCTAGCCTTTTTCTTTCACAGATTCTGCTGAAGTGATTCAGTCTCGAGTGAATGATCAGGAGGGCCGAGAGGAATTCTATGTACACTACGTGGGCTGTGAGTGACTTGGGGGTATCGGGCCTGGGAGGGGGGGGAGAGGGGTGGAAGGGCAGCACTCTCATGGCCCATCCTCACAGTTAACCGGCGACTGGACGAATGGGTAGACAAGAACCGGCTGGCGCTGACCAAGACAGTAAAAGATGCTGTGCAGAAGAACTCAGAGAAGTACCTGAGCGAGCTGGCGGAGCAGCCTGAGCGCAAGATCACTCGCAACCAAAAGCGCAAGCATGATGAGATCAACCACGTGCAGAAGGTCCGGGCCCCCTCCCCTTCTCCAAGGCCTCAGGAGGCTCAGCTGCCTCTGCCAGCTCCCTTGAGTCCCAGTGCCCAAACCACAGCAGCTCCCATTTCTAAAGCTCCTACAGTGTGTCAGGGACTTTACCTATGTTTTGTCAAATATTCTTCACAGAGAAGAAAAGTGAGGCTCAGAGAGGGCAAGCACTTGGCTACAGTCTCACAGGAAACGGCACAGCTGGGACTGGAACCTAGGCCTCCTGCACCAATAGCCTCCTTTGTCTCCCATTTGCTGTGCCACCTTAGACAAAGAATTGAAGTCCAAAAGGAAGGAAGAGAATGAGTGATATTGGGCACTTGGCTGCTGCCAAGCACCGTGCTGAGTCCTGCACGTATATAAGCTCATCATATCCTTCCTAACAATTCAATGCCACGGGGATAATGGTTTCTGTAGATGGGAAAGCAGGATCAGAGAGGTTAGGTAACATGCCCAAGGTTACACAGCTAGTAAAAGGGTGGGCTGGAATTAGAATAATAATGGCAAACATTTATTGGCTTGTGAGCCAAAGTTATAGGCTAAGTATTTTAATACATGATCTCCCTGAAGTTTCACAGCAACCTTGTGAGGTAGGCCTCATTATTATGTCCAGTTTACAGGGAAAGAACAGATAGGTTTAAGAACCCGGTTAGGAATTAGATTTGCCAACTGGATTGTCCGACTTCAGGGCACCAGCCCTTAACCATGACTTTGCCACGTCCTAGAAATTTGGGCCACTTGATCCAAAACCTGGAAGGATCCTTCTTGATCCAAAACCTGGGTATTTTTCCCCAACTCATGCCACCCCTGGGGGTTATTTCCCCCCACTCTGAGCCTCAGTTTCTTGATTTGTAAAATGGGGAGTGCAGATGAGACCAGGGTTTATTGAGTTCTCAAGCACTTAGACATTCATTAGTTTCAGCCAGTGCAATGTCTTCTTTCTGAGTGCTCATTGTGTGCTTTGGGGCAATGTTTTTTCCAGCTGTGGGGCACAGCCAAATTGGCTCAGTGGGTTGTAACAGGCTTTTAAATTTAAAAATGAAAGAAAGAGGGGCGCCTGGCTGGCTCAGTTGGTGGAGCATGCAACTCTTGATCTCGGGGTTGTGTGAGTTTGAGCCCCATGTTGGGTGGAGAGAAAAAAATAAAAATATGGGGCGTTTGGGTGGCTCAGTCAGTCAAGTGTCTGACTCTTGATCTCAGCTCAGGTCTTGATCTCAGGGTCGTGAGTTCAAGCCCCGCGTTGGGCTTCACGCTGGGTGTGGAGCCTGCTTTAAAAAAAAAGAAATAGGGTAAGATAGGAAATACCGCAGTACGTTGCACTTTATTAAAGGTAAGTATTATTTTTGAGAAGCTTTTATTTCAAGTACAGGTACATATACTGTGTATACACAGGTCAGCTGGTTTACAGTGCTGATTGCATTTCCTGCTGTGGGCTTGTGATTAAAAAAAAAACTGAAATACCCTAAGCTAGAAAGACCCCTCAGGGTCTAAGGCAGCAGTGTCCCATTGACCTTCCTGTGATAAGTGGAAATATATCTGTACTGTTCCATCGAGTAGCCCCACTAACCACATGTGGTGACCAAGCACTTGAAATGTGTTTGGTGTGGCCAAAAATGAAATTTGTGTTAAATTTAATGAATTCACGTAGTCACATGTGGCCAGGTCTAAGTTTCTCTTAGTTCCTCGACCAGATTGCACTGGCAAATTTAAGTCTCAAAAATGTACCTCGAAGCTGGTAGTCAGCAGGGTGGATGACAATGGGCCAGAGGTGATAAAATCAAAGGATGGATAATCGGCGAGTTAATAATCAGCAAGGTTCTTCGGAGCCTCATTAATGTTTAATTCTAAATAAATTGCAGCATTTTAAGAAAAGTAGTGTTTTTGTAGTTCTTTAACGCATTTGCGGAAGAGGATTGTCTTTTGTGAGTTGGGAAGTGGGTTTTTAAAGAGGCATATGAGGAGGAAAATCTTTCTTCTCGCATCTTTGCGGGGGTTAGGCTCAGAGTTAGACCAGCCAGGGGCCTGTGCTCAGTGGTGCTGGGTACCAGTTCTGTGACCTCACCGCTCTGTGCCTCAGTTTCCTCTTTGTGCAGTGTGGATAATGAGCACTCTTGTCTCAGGGGCTTTGTGAGGACTAAAGAAAATACTACCTGTGGAGTGTTTGGCACTTGGAATAAATGGCAGCTAGCTAGTCCCCGAGGGCAGGTGACCTCACCTCTCCCTATTTACTTCTCTGTAAAATCAAAATAAAAAGGCTACATCTCAGGGTGGCCGAAAAGGTTACATGAGGCCAGACAAGCAAAGTGCTTTGTGGAAGGGGGTCTAGGTAAAATGCTGACTCCTTCCTCCCTTCTCAACTGCAGGGCGAGGCTGCTGTCCTCCCCTGGTGTAGGTCATAGGCCTTCTTGGGCCCCCTCTCCATTATCAGGCTGTGCTTGGTTGCTCCTACAGAGTCTGGCTGAGGAACAGGATGTGCTGGGAGTGTGACATGACTTTTAGTCTCTGCTTTCTAAGGACTTGGGAAAATTGGGGAAACTAAGTGGGAGCAGTCAGAGGGGATTGTTAACCAGTGCGTTCCCAACTTGGAAAGGAGAGGGTGTGTTGTGTCGGAAGAATTCAGTCAGGTCTCCGGGAGGGGGTGGGCAGGGCGCGAAGCCTTGAAGGACAGGAAAGAGCACAGTAAAAAACGATTACACAGGATGGATGGCTCCCAAAACTGCCTCATCTCACACTCCCCTGGCTCACGCTCTGCTCGAGGTTGAGTAAGCATTTTTTGGCGGCGAAGGAAAGGGAACTGCAAGCTCACAGCACAAAGGCCACAGAAAGAGGGGCCTTGAGAGTGTAGACGTGGAGGGGCTGCGACTGGAGGCTGGGAATCTGTGGAGGCGTCGTTAATGGTCCAGACTTGAGATGGTGGCAGTGGCTCTTTGGAGTTGGACAGAGGAGAGTTCCAGAGAGGGACCGGTTGCAGAGACATCAGGGAGGTAGAACTGACAGACCGTGGCCCTTGATTGAATGCCAGGCTGAGAGGAGGAGGAGCTACACTGAGGGTGATGCCCCCAGTGAGACGGGGGACCCCAGGAGGATGAATAGGTCTGCGGGGAGGACGGGCTGAGTTCCTTCCTGGACACCTTGAGTCTGATGTGGCTGCGGGAGGGACCTCGGGAGCAGGCAACTCCCTGGATCTGGTGCTCAGGAAAGAGGTCCAGTCACGCTGGGGAGTCCAGCACCAGTTCCTGCTATGGGCACGGAAGATAAGATTCATTCTTCATTTGCCTCATGACAATTTTGGCAGAGCTGGACTGATCCTTTTGTATTGCCCAAGGACCAGAAGCAGGCCTTCTGCTCCTAGCCCTGTTCATCTGGCAAAAGGTCCAAACTTGGGCGTCAGGGATGTGTGGGTGGGTGGGAAGGCAGGAGAGGAGCTTGGCCCAGCCAGCTTCCAAACCGCTTCAAACAAGTTAGCTGTTCGTGTGGTTATTATTGTCATCCGGAGGATGAGGTCTGGAAGACAGGAGGGAAGCACCGGGCTCCGGTGCAGGGGAGGGACAGCCTGAGCACCACTTCTGTTCACCTCTGTTCCCGGCTCTGTCCTTGCCCAGACCTATGCAGAGATGGACCCCACCACAGCAGCCTTGGAGAAGGAACACGAGGCGGTAAGCAGGGGCCGGGCTCCTGCCCGCGGGCGCTCCCTCGGCCGGCTTCCCTCGCCCCGACGGAGCCAGCCACTGCCCTGCGCTCCCACCTTACCCACAGATCACCAAGGTGAAGTACGTGGACAAGATCCACATCGGGAACTACGAGATCGATGCGTGGTACTTCTCACCGTTCCCCGAAGACTACGGGAAACAGCCCAAGCTGTGGCTCTGCGAGTATTGCCTCAAGTACATGAAATTCGAGAAGAGCTACCGCTTCCACTTGGTGAGCCTGGGCCAGCTGGGCCTGGTGAGAGAGGGGCCGCGGGGGCCGAGGGGCCAAGGCAGCAGCGACAGGGAAGAGAGACAGGTTCCAGGGGAGTTGGGTACAAGGAAAAGCTGCCCGTGGCTCAAGAGACCCGGGTTCTAGGCCTGGCCTTGCCTTGGCTGGCGTGACCTTGGCCAACTCGCTGCCTTCCTCCAGGCCTCAGTTTCCTCTTCTGCGGAACGGGGACGGTAATCCCCGCCCTTCCCACCTCCTCAGGTCACCCCAGACACTACATGTTTATCGAGGCCAGCCCAGTGCCAGGTTCCTCGGGGCAAAAGAGGGAGCGAGTATGGCCCCTGAGCAATGGGGCTGGAAGGTGGGGGCAGATGGGAGGCGTTGGCAGGGGTGGCCCGGGGGTGGGGTGCTGGGGGCTCGCAGCCTCGCGCAGCATGGCGTTTCCCAAAGGGCGTGACCTGAGGCAGATGTGTGCGGTTTGGGGACCGCCAGTGTCATGGATGAGAGCCCGCCAGAGTCCTCCAGAGCCAGGCTGGCCTGAACTTGAGACCATCTGGCTGGGTGATATGCAAGCCAGTTCCTTAGCCTCTCTGCGCCTCGGTTTCTTCATCTGTAAAATAGGCTCTGTCTCCTCAGGTAGTTGGGAGGCTTACTTGATGTAGGTGAAGTCCGGAGCCCAGGGTCTGTAGGTGGGGAAACAGAAGGGAGACCTGTTGCAAGCCGCACGGGGTGGGATGGGGGGGGCACCTAGCAGGAAACCTCAAGGTCTCAAGGCTTTGTCTCCCCGCCCCCACCCCCAGGGTCAGTGTCAGTGGCGGCAGCCCCCCGGGAAGGAGATCTATCGCAAGAGCAACATCTCCGTGTATGAGGTCGACGGCAAAGACCACAAGGTGAGGTAGGGGGCCGAAGTGCCGTGGGGAGGTGGGGGGAAGCACCTCCTGGATGATCCTCGTTGTCGCCGAAGGGTAGAGGCCGGCCTGAGGACGAGCCCCCGCCGGGGAAAGGCCTGTGAGGTCATGCTTAGTCTGGCACTTGGCCTGTGGTTGGCGCCCGGTAAACACCCGGCTCTGGGGCGCCAGCCTTGGGGACGGTTTCTGTTCTGTCCCTGAAGACTTTTCTCCTGACGGGGTGGCTTGGGTTGGGGGCGGTCCTGGCCCAGAGTAGAGATTGTCACGCCTGAGGCTGCTTCTAGAAGCGCTTTCTCTTTCTGCCTGAAGGAAAGGTTTCTTCCCTGGGAGGGGACGGCTTTGTGTGACTTGCTGCCGGAGAGCTGTGTAGCTCTGGCCGCGGAGTTCCTTGTTTCTGGCAGGAGGACCTTGGCGGGGCAGGGTGGGGCATTTGGGGCCTTGCTTTGCTGCCATTGAGCACCTGGCCTTTGCCTGGTCAGTCTGGGAAGCTCTGACCAAATGCCCCTGCTTCCCAGGGAAGGGGACCGTAGAGGGTCAGGCCAAGAGGGCAGGCTTCTGAGTGGCTCCTGCTTCAAACCGTGCTGTCATTGACTAGCTGACCGTGGACAAGTGACTTAACGCTGTTTGTTCCTGTTTCCTCATCTGTAAGATAGGAGTCATGATTACGTTGACCTAATAGGATTGTTGGTGGAACAAATGAGCAATGTCAAGTACTTAACTCGGGTGTCTGGCATCAAGCAGGTGCTTAGTAAACGTAGGCCTTTGTTATTATTGGTGACCTCCTTGTGTTCAGCCAGCCTTGAGGTAAATAACTCAAGGGGAATATTGGCTCTTAGCCTGGCCTGGGTCCCCTGCTTTGCCTTTCTGAGCACGAACAGGGTGGGTGGCAGAAAGGGCTCTAGCAGGAGACATGGGTGTTCTCTCTAGCTCTACCCTGTTAACTTTGAAGCCTCAGCCAAGGACTCCCTCTCCCCAGAACCTCAGTTTCCTCCTAGGTAAAATGGGCTAGCAATGCTGGACTTCACAATTGTCGGGTCAAATAAGAGTGGATGTAAAAGGTGTCATAAACCAGAGGGTCTCCTGATCTGTGCCATGAAGCCAACGTCAAGGTCTCATTATCCGTGCTGATATTGGTCTCTAGCCTGGGTAGGTGTCTGGGCCTACAGCAAGGAGGCTCCTGAGGCCCAGCAGAAGAGTGTGGCCAAGTGGGCAGACCGCTCAGGCTTTGGAATCAGGCTCAAAGCTCATCCATTCAGCAAACATTTACCAAGCACCAAGCTTCATGCTTAGCCTCATGCTGGGTGTTGGGGATACAGCTATGAATAAGACAGAACTCATATACCAGTTTGAATTCTGCGCTAGCACTCACCAGCCATGGGACCTTACGCCAGCCACTTACCTCCTCTGAGCCTCACTTTCCTGATCGGAAACCTAAAAGTTAATGTCCCTGAAGATTGAACTCCTATTTAGCACTCAGAAGTGGTAACTGATTGGGACACCTGGCTGGCTCAGTCGGTGGAGTGTGCGACCCCTGCTCTCGGGGTTGTGAGTTCCAGCCCCATGTTGGGTGTAGAGATTACTTAAAAATAAAATCTTAAAAAAAAAAAAAAAAAGAGCTTTTTCTGCCCATGACTCCTGTTCCCATGCTATAACTAAACAAACACCTTTGGGGCACCTGGGTGGCTCAGTCGGTTGAGTGTCTGACCCTTGATTTTGGCTCAGGTCATGATCTCGGGGTCGTGAGATCCAGCCCTGCACTCAGTGCAGAGTCGGCTTGGGATTCTCATCTCCCTCTGGCCCTCCCCCCCCATTCGCACACACACACTCTCTCTCTCTAAATAAATAAATAAAATCTTAAAAAAACAAAAACAAAGCAACTCACCTTTTTGCACGGGGGGTGGGGAAGTGGTCACTGATTAATCGAGCTCTCTGGTTTTTAGTTTCCCTGTCCATCTGGAAAATGACTGTAAGACTCCTTTTGGTTCTGAGTGCTCTTGTTCTTGGTGGGGGGGCCCCACATCCCAGCGGCTCGGCATTGGCTGCTCTCTGAAGGCTGGTGTTTGCAGAGCAGGTGGCAGCCGCTGCCCAGGCCTCCGTGAAACTAGGTGGGGAGTTATACCCGCTCCCTGAGCCTGCTTCCACCTCCCCTGCCCCTCAGATTTACTGTCAGAACCTGTGTCTGCTCGCCAAGCTTTTCCTGGACCACAAGACCTTGTACTTCGACGTGGAGCCCTTCGTCTTTTACATCTTGACTGAGGTGGACAGGCAGGGGGCCCACATCGTTGGCTACTTCTCGAAGGTGCTGGATTGGGAAGCCCAGGTTGAGGGAGGGTGGGGACTCTGACCGGCAGAAGGGGCTGAGCCTCCGCAGAGGTCCTGACCACACACCCCTGTAGGAGAAGGAGTCTCCAGATGGGAACAACGTGGCCTGCATCCTGACCCTGCCCCCCTACCAGCGCCGTGGTTATGGGAAATTCCTCATTGCTTTCAGTGAGTGGTTCCTGGCCTACGGAGGAAGGGGCAGCTGTGGTGGGGGCCATGGCGGTGGGGGGGGGGGGCGCCAGGGCGGGGCCGGGTCCTCCGAATCCTCCTTTCCACCGCTCCCAGGTTACGAGCTCTCCAAGCTAGAGAGCACAGTCGGCTCCCCTGAGAAGCCGCTGTCTGACCTGGGCAAGCTCAGCTACCGCAGCTACTGGTCTTGGGTCCTGCTGGAGATTCTGCGAGACTTCCGGGGCACACTATCCATCAAGGACCTTAGGTGAGGGCCCTGGAACCCTTAAAGAGGGAAGGACTCTTCTAAGATTGGCCGTGATCCCACGTCCTTGTCCCCTTTTGCTGTCCCAGTCCGACCCCACAAGGGAACTCTGCCCAACATCCGTGCTAATCCCTTTCTGCAGCCAGATGACTAGCATCACCCAGAATGACATCATCAGCACCCTACAGTCCCTCAACATGGTCAAGTACTGGAAGGGCCAGCACGTGATCTGTGTCACACCCAAGCTGGTAGAAGAACACCTCAAAAGTGCCCAGTATAAGAAACCACCCATAACAGGTAGGTGGGGGGCTGCCCAGGGTGTGTGTGGCGGGGGGTAGGTGTTAAGATCTACTGGAAGCCAAAGCTACCTTTTGACTGTTACATGATCCCAAAGTAGTCTGACCAGCTCCTGGGACGGAAGCCTGGGGCAGGCTCCTCATTCCCAGGTTTCCCTGCCCCCTCCCCAGGACTCAGTATGCCCTTGTTCTCACCTAGAGGTGAAACCTGGCCTGGGCCCAGAGGCCCAGCCCTGCCTCTCATGCCTCTCTCCCCACAGTGGACTCGGTCTGTCTCAAGTGGGCACCCCCCAAGCACAAGCAAGTGAAACTCTCCAAGAAGTGAGTGGGCTGCGCCCCGGCTGCTGAACCCGTGCCTCCCTGCCCCCCTCCCCCCGCCTGTAAATATGTACAGACCTGTTATGTCATTTTTTTTTTTAATAAAGTAAGTTCTGCCAGTGGTTCTGGACTTTGGAGGTGGGAGGGAGAGGCCAAGAGCTGATGTTCTTCGTCGCATGTCCCACACAGCCGGTTGTGCTCAAAACATTTTCCTTCTGCTTGTTCTTTCTATCCCTCACCCCAAGCCCAAGCCCAGTTCCGGTGGGGGCTCAGTCCTCCGGAGTCTAGGAGTCGAGGTTCAAGGAGGGCATGGCAGCCGATGGGGCAAGATTGGGGCCTTTTCTGTTCTTAAGAATATGCTGCCCGGAGGCAGCCCCAGCTCAGAAGACAGGCAGAGGGTGAAGTGATGGGGCTCATCCGGCAGAAGGAGCGCTCAGAGTGCTGGAGCCAGCCCTTCAGCAGCAATTAACTAGGCAGGTACCCAATCTTCTAGAAACAAAGCGGGGAGCCAGGGCTCATTTTCATCGTTAAGGGTCCTCAGGGGCTCCATAGGAGCCCAGCCAGCGGGTGGAGGTGCCCAGAGGTTCTAGCCAATACCACAGGTAGTAAACTCTTTGCCTGTGGGCTGTAGTCCCAAAGAACGAACCCAGAAGAGGGGGCTCAAAGGTCAGGATGGTGCTCTGGGCTCCCGCAGGTCCGGGCAGGGAGGAGTGACTCAAACCAGTCCCCCAGGCCCAGAAGATGTCAGGGAAGGGCCAGCTCCACTCCTGGGCCATGCATCTGTCCTCGGGTGCAGTGTGGAAGTCCAGGAAGCAGGGTCGGCTCCCAGGATGAGTAGCTTAGCAGACGAGGCCCAGGGTCAGGCCTAGTGGCAGCAGAAGGACGAGCCCCTGTAAGCCCCGGGCTGGGGCCGAGCTGAAGGCCTGATGGTTGACACAGAGATGGCCATCGGGCTGGGACTCCTGGAGCTGGGGCCCCACATGAGGCTGGAGCTCTGTCACGTGGTAGTGAATCCAGGAGGCATAGCTGGAGGTCAGCGTGTACACGCCAGGCCTGTTGGGGGCCCCACAGGCGTCGCCCCAGCTCACAATGCCTGCCAGGTACCAGAGGCCCCCCGCGGGGCAGGAGAGTGGGCCCCCAGAGTCACCCTGAAGAGAAAAGCCATAGAGTACCGTCAGGATGGGGCCCCGGGCCTCGGGTCAGCCATGCCAGCCCCTCTGGCCCTCATCTGCCAAAAGGCACTGGTCTCAGTGCGCACCCCGCATTCACCTGGCAGGCATCCTTGCCCCCCTTCACGTAGCCGGCACACACCATGTCCTGCTGGATAAAGTGGGGCTCATCAGGCTTGGCGTCGATGTTGTACAGGCAGTTACACGTCTCACGGCTGATCAGTGGTACCTCGAGTTGCTGCAGCTGCCGGGGGGCCAGGAGGCTCACTGTGGGAGCAAAAGATGCTCACCTGCGGCCCCCTCCCCTGAGTCAGACACCGCCCCCCCCACGCCTCTAGACATCAGCGCCCGCCTCACCTGAGGGCGCCACGTGGCCCCATCCGGTGACAGTACATTGGAAGCCGTTGGGGAAGGAGGTGTTGGCTGCGGGGAGGCAGATGGGCCGGATGTAGCGGGAGAAGGAGACCGGCCTCCCGAGCCGGAGGAGCGCGATGTCGCCCTGGGAGCCCTCCTGGTGGTAGCTGGGGTGGGAGATGACCTGGGCCACGGTGCGGACCTCGGCCTCAGGGGTGTAGGAGTCCAGCTGGTGGGCCCCCAGCTTTACCTCATAGTCTTCCTTGAGGTGCTCCCTGCAGGCAGAGGGGCCAAGGCTGGGACCCAGGAGACCTCTCCTAGGTCCCTGCTCCCTGTTGGGGATCCCCGTTCCATCCACCCCCCAGGTTCTGGTCCCAGGCAAAGGGCCTTTTAGATCCCAGACTGCGTATTAGTTTTATCCTGTGACCTGTGACCTCTGGCCTTCACTCCTGACTGATCCTTTCGGACTTAATTATTGCTACCCCTGGACCCAACCCAAGGACTCCAACCTCCGGCCTAGGCTGATCCCTGAACTTTGACCTTAGCCCACTTTTGACTCCCCCCACCTCCCCCCCACCCCACCACCTGGCTGGTACCTTGGGAAGCAGTGAGCAGCTGAGACCACCCACTGCTCAGACACGAGGGAACCGCCACACACGTGGGTGCCGTCGTAGGTGATGCTGACCTGCCAGGGCCACTGGCCGGCCGCTGCGCCACCACCCCCGGTGATGCGTGCTTGGGAGGCCACACCACAGGAGGCTGTCCAGGGAGGAAGGGGAGGGAGTCAGGCCCTTCTGGGGCCCCCGCACCGGGCTCCTCAGGCCTGCCGCTCCCTGTTGACCTGGTTTGGAGCTTGGGAAGTGAGCTCACGGGAGCCAGCCACCCGTTTGTCCCCGTCCCACTGCTCGGCGGGCACGGCTGGTTCTGCCGCCTCACCACCCTTGTTACCGAGCTCGGGTTTCGTCCAGCTTCCTTGCTCTCGGGTCCTCCCACCTTCCATTCCGTCCACTCCTCACAAGTCAGAAGATCTTTATAAACCACCAATCTGATCGGGCCACACCTCAGCTTAAATCCTTTCCTGGCTCCACACTCTGCCCTCAAGATACATTCCCGACCTTCCAGGACACTGCCACCTAGTCCAGCCATCCCTCCGGACACCTGTCACACACTTGTTTGCCTCTAGACCTCTGCTTATCCAGGTCACTCTGCCGAGCACACCTTTCCTCATCCCTACTCAGCTCAGCAAACCTATTTGCCTATGCAGGTGATTCACACGTCGGCCTCTCCTTCAGCGGCCCTCGCGGGGCTGGCTGAGTTGGATGATGCTGGGAGCTCCCGGCCCCCCACCGCCCCCACCCCCGCGTCCCCCAGCGCTGCCCCCTCACACAACTGTTGTGCTGGTGCCTGTGACAGCACAGAATCCGGGCGTTCCCTGCCGACAGGGCCTGGAGCTGAGCCCCTTGTCCCCCGTGCCCAGCACACGGGGCTGAGCACACAGCCGCAGTCGTGGATGCGTGCTGAACAAACAACAGGCCTCCCACACTGCGCCTCTGGTTTCCGGGACAGCCTCACCCCCACTGTGGCTGCGGCCCTTTGGAGCAGGAGCCGGCAGCCCTTCACAAAGTCACCTTCCTCGGAGCAGAGCAAAGCGTCCGGCCAAGCTCCTCCTTCTCTCCTCGTAATACCGACAATAGCTACTAGCGAGTGACTGCCCAGGCGACGCGCGGGGGGCCGCGGGAGGGCTTTCACTCATGGACTTTATCTCCCTGAGTCCTCACTGGGCCCCAGGAGACAAACATCACCGACTTCATTTTTGAGGTGAGGGGACTGGCCAAGAACACACAGGGTGCGGTGAAGCGGGGACTGAAAACCAGACTCAGAGTCGCGTGGTGTGCCTTGGCTGGTCTTCCTCCAAGGTCGTTACCTCTGGACTCAGACGTGGGTTTAAAATCCCAGCTATGCCTCTCAGCGGCTGTATGCTCTTGGGCAAGTCACTTCTCCGTACCTCAGTTTCTTTCTCCAGGGAATGCCACTTACCGTCCCCATCTTACAGACTAATGGCAGGATCTACATAAGGCAATAAGGACGGGTAAGAGGGCCCTACCGGGGAGAGGGTCAGGCGCTCATGAAACACTCTGTTGGAATCTGAATCCAAGTCCCCTTCCTTTCCCCTCCCCCACACAAGCCTCACCTTCATCCCCGTCTGCTCCTGGAGGAAGAGAGAAAGAGGGAAGGGTAAACAGGAAAGACCAGAGTTCCCAGACCCCTTAGCACCTGCCACTTCTCCAGAGGACCGTCCCCCACCCCCACTCCGCGCCCCCCAGGAGGCCAAAGCTGAAGGGAGAGGGAGAGGCCCAGAGCTAGGGAGGCTGGAAGCCGAGATAAGGGATAAGGGGTGTGCCCAGAAAAGGGTTATACCCTTGGCCTATGTCCACCACCCCTCCCCCCAAACCCCACAGTCTCTGACCGCCGCAAATACTCACCAAGTCCGGACCGGAATAATCCAAGCAAAAGCAGAATGGCCACAGCCCCCAGCCACAGGCCTGCCCTGTGGGCCATGGCCCAGGACCAGGGCCCCTGCGGAGAGACACCAGGCACCCTAGGGAAGGTACTTAGGGCTGGTTTCCAAGGCAAGTTCCAGGTATCGGCCCCAGAGGGAAGGGATCCTGGAATCCGCGCTGGGAAGGGGGAAGAGACGTCCAAGGCTAACTTCGAAGGCAGGAATAAGGCACGAAGGGAGACGCTGGGGTCTCCGCAGCCGCCAGTGAGGACACGTCTCCAGCCGATCCTGGCTACGCAGAGACCTTCCAGAGTGCGGCTGGATCCCTGGAGAAAGGCACCTACCTGCCTGCCCCTCCCCTAGCCCCGCCCTCCTTGCTTAGCTCCGCCAGCTTTTCTTGCTAACACGGTCCTAAGTCCTCCCAGACCCCCAGGGGTGGGGTGGGGTGGGGTGGGGTGGGGTGTGTGTGTGTGTGTGTGTGTGTGTGTTCCAGGCGGGACTGGAAATCCCTTGATAGCTAGACTCCCTAGAATGTGACCCCACCGCCCTCTGTCCCAGGTCTTGCAAGTCTCCCAGGCCAGTTATGTCCCCAAGGTTCTGGCCCAGTCTTTGTTGTCCTGGGGCCGCTGTGCTCCTCCTTTCTTCCGTCCTTAGGCCTGGTGTCTGAGCCCAGGGCACCCGGGGCTGCTCCCGGCGGGCCCTTCTGTTGAGCCTGCAGCCGCATCTGTGTGCGGTAAGGTGTGTTGAGTGTGATGGCAGGTGCCAAGCATGTCACAGGTATTTCCCGAGTGCCTACTATGTTCCAGGCACGGGAGACGAAACAGACACCATCTTCTGCCTTCGCTGAGCTCACCGTGAAATAGGGCTGACAGCTCTGAATCAAATAATCACATAGCAATTACAGAATAATTTCAAGCTAGGCACTGTGATAAAGAAGAATGGGGGCTCCGGGGGCCTGTTCACAGGAGCTTCGCGTAGGCTGGCATCAGGAAGGTGCTGTTAGAACTGAGGCCCGAGGGGCTCTGGGAAGGTGTTAAGGCAGATGGAGGAGAAGGGCGGTCCGGGGAGAGCGTTCTCAGGTGGACAGTGCAGGTAGCTC